ACAACTTCCTGTCAACAGCGCTAACTTCTCCTTCCAAAATAAAAGCATGTCCATAAATAGGAAGCCAAGACAAATTACAGTTAAGACATATACAACTGCAACGAAGTAACAAACACAATGCGATATCCTTTTCAATTTCAAAGAAACACAAATTGGGTTACATTAACAAATAACTATAAAACAACAATACCGGGTAGAATAACAAAAATAAGTGGTTCGCTTGCTGATTACTATTGAATTGTGTTACTCCAGTAAGATGGAAATATAATACTTTGTTTATTCATGTTATGTTAAGCTGCTGTTGTTCATTGCATTAATACTAGACTAGTTAGTCTTAAGGCTAGAATTCTGCACTAGCCACATTTTATTCTATTTATTATTTGTGACTGAATGTGAACTTGTGAAGCGAGTCAAGCTACCTCTTTCCAGTAGAGTTATTTTTGTTTGTTACTGCACTATTCGCACTCAATTGTTACCATGGTTATTTTTGTGGTGGACCACTGATGAGCTTTATTTTGTGTTGATCCAATGCTGCACAACTTGAACTGATCCAATGCTGCTGTGAACAAAAGAAGCCATATCCATGTTGGACAGAATGGATAGTTGGGTACTGTCATTTCAATAAAAAAAATAACCTTAAGGGACAACTTGAATGCTTTTTTACCTTTAATGCATAAAATCGGGAAAAATCGGTATCGGCAGATTGTCAAAATCAAATGATTGGAATCGGATCGGGAGCAAAAAAAGGTGATCGGGACATCCCTAGTCATTTTTGTAAGAACATGTTTTATTGGAGCATGACATATAATCACTACTACACTAAAGCAAATGCTGAAGGGAAGAAGAAAACATCGTTTTATGTATATTCTCAATTCAAGTAGGCGGAACACGAGCACATTTGATGACTGACAAGACATGTATTTGTTCTCTTAAATAAACCCCTGAATGGGAAAGTCACCATGACAATTTCAATTTGCTACAGATATTTATTAATCCCACTGGCTACTTCCTGTATGAAACATTGTCTATGATAGATAGTGTAATACTACAGATGCCTGTGAGGGACAATAAATACATTTTGAAATCATCAAATAGGAATAATCAAATGAAGAGTTATTACTCCAAACCAGCTCATCCTGCTATTCTATTCAGTTGGGCTAACCCCAAGTTAAATCTGCAATCAATTATGTTACCTTTAAAAAGCTGCAAATGCCTACAAAATCTCTATAAATTAAGCTTAGATGTTCCCACTGCTGAGGACAACCAACCATACAGCTTCAAGTAACTGTACTAAAGTCATTCTACTGGTGTAAAGAAAAAACAGTCTACTGGTTAAGACACGAAAATGAGGGAGGTGCACTATGTCCCGCAAATATTTCTCCCCAATACAACCATGCATTTAAGTGACATGTTGCAGTGCTGCAGGAATGTCTCATGGCGTTTACTGAAGTAGGAGATGTTCCCTGCATAATGACAGAACAAACAATGTGTTCAACAGATTGCATCTTTTACACAGCGATTGTATCCATTTATGACTTACATATAGCCCGGAGAAGAGGTCATATGATCACATTTCCCCTAATGATTACATGACTGCAAGCTATAAACTACAGATCATGACTGGCATATGATGCTAGCCCTGCCTGGGGACTGTTTTCCAGGCACCACGTGACCTAGAAGCTTCCATTGTGCATTGATGGACCAAACAAAGCAGACCTCATATTTTTGCATAGCTATGTACCCAGAATAAACCGGTTTTCTTTTTGCTTGGAATCGTCATGACTGATGGAATAGCCCAGACAGTTCTTCTTATATCAATCAGAAACCACCAAAAAAGTGATCTGAATAAAGCTTAGTGTTCAAATAATATCTTTAAAGTAACAAACGTAGATCTAGTTTATCATAGGGCAAATAGAACATGCACAGGTGTTACACCATATTACGTGCCTTGGGCTCTTGGTTATATCACTGCAGTTTTTACAATGCTTACATAATGTACTTGGATTAGCTGTTATCAATACGTATTATGGCAAAATGACACTGTATAAATACGATTGGAAGGGTGGATAAAACGCAATGTCCCATTTTAGAATCTTGTATATTTAATTTGCTAAATTATAATTTATCATGCATTAATGTGTTAATCACTGCTGATAAAGGTAGAGCTAATTACTGTATGTACTGAAATTACTGTATGTACTGCTGCTCGATATCTTAATTTATAATGTAGATTATAATCTGAATATTTAAATAACGCGTAGCTAATTCTGTTAAAAAAAATTGTAGTTAAAAAAGTGCAATATTGAGTTCTAAGATTAAGTAAAGTATAAGTGGAGAGCAGCTTAAAATGGAAATGCTTTAAGTACAAGTACCCCAAATCGTACTTAAAAGTACAGCACTTGAGTAAATGTACTTCAATACATTACACCATTGGCAATAGCTGTAGCAGCATAAACCGGTGTCCAATAGTGAAGATGTGTCTGTAACGACAGCTCCTCATCATCTGCAGTCTCTTTCGTAGCTGTGAATCTAACTGGTCAAATATTTCGTTTCAATCACCTGGCAAAAAAAATCTGATTTGTACAAACAATTTCGTTTCCACTACCAACGCCGAAGCAAAAATAACGTTAACACTCTCAGCGATACATGGAATGATGTGTTCCAGCTGTCAGGGTAGCGGAACATAACTCAAAGTGAATTTACCATTAGACTGTGATGCTAACATGGGCTGTAAACCGAACCGCAGCTACTCCTGCCAGTACGTGGTCACCTGCAACACGTGGAGTTACACTTCAGTGCTGAATTAATACCGCCTATTATTCCACTGGTGTGCACGAGCTTAATCATAAATGATATGATAAGCTCCTCGCGCTGGTCTAGCAACCCAGTGTTAACAGCTAGTCCGCTAGCGTTAGCTTCACTCAACGGTGGCAATGGAGACTGCAGCATATTAAAACAAAACGACTATCCGGAGAGAATTTATAACCCCTTGTTGGCATATAATCAACCCAACGAATTATAAAGTCGCGCATATGAAGAAACATAATTGATAGAGTAGTAACTCACCATGTTTGTTCGGGTTGGGTACGTTGGTCTGCTAAACGCTACAGGGAGAGAGGAAATGGAAGGTTGCCACTGAGCGAGGCTGGCTGGAGGCGGGCGGGCAGGACGAACCACTGCTGTACGGCTCAGTGTATTCCTTCCGCACTGTGGGGAAATACGCTCTATGAGTGAGGCGGCCTACTGTTTTGCTCACACGCATACACAGACAGGAGCCTGATGCTGTGCGCGTAACTGTCTTTGGGGTTGTCATGTTTCCTATAGAGAAGTAACCCTTATCTTTGTTTTTCTAAGTTTAAAACGATGATTATTTAGGAAAGCAAGCTAAAGACAGGTACACATTTTTATTGCATGCTGTTTAAATCTGGATTAACCCATTATGGAAAGAGCTGACCATCACCTGCTGAAACCAAGACTAAGTACCAGGTCCTCTTCAAGTTCTCAATAAATGAAGAGCCAGCAATACTACTTGGCATAGCCCAACACCTTTATTAATGCAGGACCTGGCCCAATATTCTGTTATTAATGTGGCAGTCATAAACCACACAACCTGGGCACCCATCAGTGTGCTGAAGTCTCAGTATTTGGCTGTCATTACATCTGGCATCACAATCATAAACACGCTTATATACTCAGAACCCAAACACATTCTTCACATGTGAGCTGAATGTTTCACATACTTGTGGCCTTAATCCTTGTTTGTAGTTATGAACCAGATTAACTGCAACAATGTCTATATGTAAATGTTTGCATCGATATTATGTATTTCTAAATCAAAGTGATAGTATGGAAATAATTTGTAAAAAAACGACATTTTAATTATTGTCATAAAATAAAGCCTAGTGAAATGCAGTGGAGATTCATTATTAGGTCAACTCTGTCAAGGGATAAAAAAGATATTATATTTTGTATTAGAATAATTTAGATGATCACAACAGTGGTCTTTGTCCTTTGAACATAAATGGTGAGGTTTTCTCATATTTATTTAGTTTTTTAATGTCGAAATGACGCACTAGTTTGTGTTATAGTTTTATGCAGGCGGAAGGACACATTCGCGGCTGACGGCACTGGGGAAGTTGCGGTTTTGCTTTTGAGAGGCTGATTCTGATTGGAGAGAGCAGACCCGCAATATTCTGAATGCTGTACAGAGGCCCGCTGATTGGCCAGTTCGGATCTGCAATGCGCCAAACCACGGCGCGGAAATGAATGGCAGGTGGGAGCGACTCCACCGTGCACTGTGTGCAATATGTGCTGGGTTTTTAGTAATATACAAATAGGGCAAGTAAAAGTTTTCAGGTAACTTACAAGTGAGGTTGAAGGTGAAGTCAACAAATTAGAATAACCTTATATACGCTTAACAATTAGACTGAAACGCCCAGGTTTACAATGTAGTTCTTAAAACTAGACTATTTAAATGAATACAAATAGGAACTGCACATAGTTAAACTGTGGGATATTTTAGAGTAGCTCTGTTCGCATGGTGAATTTAATATACAAAATAAGTGAAAGCTAGAACGGACCACGTGGAAAGTGATAACTTTCTGAACTTGACACTGCCAGTATGATCTTTTTGCTATTCTCTTGGTATCTGGGTAAGATTGTCTTTCACCAAGGTGGGTGCAGCAGGGATACTTAACATTTAACCTTATCATCATCAGGAGTCGTGTGTACCCAGAAGTCATTAAAAAAAGGTAATACATTAATATTTCAATATGAATTCAATGGAATTCTCGATATAAATTACGATAACTCTTAATTGAATATGCAGGCTAAAAGAAAGAAGAATGTTTTCTTCTTTCCCACTTTCTAATTTCTCTCAGTATAAGGTTACAATTCATTTAATTAACACTGTCATGGACTTTTACAATATTGATTTTAAACACAGGCCCCTAACCTCAGTGTGCATGCACTGATAAGCATAAACAGACCCACAGCATACAAATGAGAATCATATATTTATTAATAGTGTCCGGTACTAAAAACACAGTTCTGGTGGCCTTAATGTGAAAATATACCATTATGTACAAAGCATGTTCACCTGTAAGTGTAAGTATCTGGTTGGTTGTGTGTGTCTCCTGTTCTTGCTATCAACGGTGCTGTGTATTTGACTTCTTGAATGAGATGTGTGTGTGTTTGTGTATGTTCAGTCCTCCAGCAGGATATCCAGTTCTTCCAAAGGTAGTCCTAACTCGGAGCTCTTCTCTGTCATCAGATCTACAAACTCCTGCAAGATGCTCGGGGAACAGCTGCACACCGCGTCCATGTACAAGCCCTGATCACAACACACACACACCACACACACACAACACACACACACACACACACACACACACACACACACACACACACACACACACACACACACACCACACACATCACACACACACACCACACACACACACACACACACCACACACACACACACACACACACACACACACACACACACACACACACACACACATTGATAATTAAGTTCTTGTTCATTCAATTAAAAATGAGATGAACAGGTTAGCAGCTGTATCATGGTTTTTCTTGGGTCCTTTAAAAGTATTATGCTGTTGTCTGATTTAAGGAGCAGTACAATTAACTACTATTTTATTTATTTATTGGTATTAACTGCAAACAATCAAGAGGATCGCCTGAATTAGTTTTTTTGTCGGGCGGGATAACAAACCACGATCTAAATAAAGATGTTCCACTCTAACCCTTATATATTCATTGGGTGTTATATATTACCATTGTTTAAAAAATGTCAATAAATGCATGTACTTTAATGTGAGTCAATTACTTATTTGTTCACTTTAAGTCTGTATCTCACCTTAGCCCAGGGAATATTCTGTAAGGCCTTGTAGAAGATCCCAGTGGCTTTGTCCACCTTCCCTTCTGAAACCTACAAAAACACACACATGTAAAACACATAGACTAAGGACTAACTGACTGTCAATATTTGCACAGGCTTACTGTGTGTGTAAGTTATTATACTTCTATCCCCAAATCAATATTTAGAAAAATAACTGCACTGAAAAAACTAATATCATAGAGGCATAGCAAGCTTTGTTAATCATACTGGAAAAAAAAAAAAAATATATATATATATATATATGCGAGGAAAGCGAAAGCAGGTATTTGCCCTCTAAGTGAAGTTTGTAACCATGTCGTTATGAGTTATGGGTAGTTGTATAAAATATTCTCTATTTCCGATAGTTTGTATTATCTTTCCGACTGAAAGGTCAAGGACAAGTTTTCGAAAGGGCTGTACTGTAAACGTAAATATGTGCGTGTTATTTGCCGTCTCACCAGGAAGTACATGTACATCCTCCAAAGTAAAGGACAGTGAGACCCCATCTCTGTTGCTATGGCACTTTCAAACAGTCCACGGATACGGTTGCTGAGCCCATTCTCTGGCAGGATTGGTAAGGCAGCATCATGGCAACAAGACCTATACACATATATATGCAATTATTAACATGTAATGGTAATTTTGCAAGAACACAATAGGGGTGCAGGATGACCCCACACCTACCTATCATTCTCTCAACTCTTACCTCTGAGCAGCGTCAACCAGCTGCTTCCTCTGTTGTTCCGCAACAATGGAAAAGAGGCGTGGCACTACACTGCTGTTGCCCCTGGTTACAGAGTGGAAGAAGCGTCGCGCCCGGCCAGCACTATGGTAACGGTTCTCCACCTGGAACATAGGTTGTGTTAGGGTCATCGTACAAAAATAATAACCGATTTTATTTGGATTATTTAAAACTTAAATGAGCTACCTGTACATATAAACCCCAGAGAGGGGCGCTGGCCGGCCCACGTGGAGAGGGCGGAGGTCAGTGTCTGCCTCAGTGTTGCCAGGGGAAACACACTGATGCTGTTGTGGTACCTAAGCAACGCTGCCTGTTGCACTGCCAGAGCCTCACACTCAGAAGCTAGCCGGCTAACATACTGCCTGCAGGAGAGACTGGAATCAGACTGGTTAGCGTCGGTGCTAGCGACATCCTCAGAGCTGTTAAGCTGCTTGTCCTGGGTCAGCTTCTGGTGCAGCTCCTCCATCCTGTCTCTAGCCTGATTGTAGACAGCATTAGCGGCTTTGATGCCCGTTGTGAGGTACTGGAACAGAGCGTGGCATCCCCATCAGGCCTTTCAGCCTAGGCTTCTCTCCAAGCAGGTCCTCCTTACCTGCTGGTGGAATGATGAGATGAAGGGAAGGTCAGATTAATTAGAGATAAGATCGTTTTCCCAGGAGACAGTCAGACCTGTTATAGTCGGGAAAGCACAAGTGTTACAGCTAATGGAACTCACCCCCTGTGATTTTCTTACTGTGACATGTCTTAACAGCTCAAGGTTCACTGTCAACATCATTGAAGCTGTAACCCATGTATTAGAAAAACACTGGCTAATCAAAAGTTTGCTAAATATGCCCTAAAAGTGTAAAGGAAAAATTGTCAGCAGTAATGTTGAGTGACCAGGAGCAAATGGGAGAGCAAAAACCACAGATTTTGGCCTTTTAAAAGACACAGGTAGCATCTCTGTGGCGATAACGCACGGTAAATGTTGATGGAGTAAACCTTTTTTGTTGGTCTGGTAGTTTTGTTCGAGTGCTGACAAGCCGGTTGTCAGCACCTGTTCATACGATTTCCTGGCTTTCAGGATGGAGACCGGAGAGATGGGCCTGGTCGGAGGAGGCGGAGCTTCCCTCTGCTAGCCTGGTTAGCACACACACAGCTGGGGACGCAGTGAGGTCTACAAGTCCTCCCCCTCGCACTGTTGGCCCGTCCTCCATTTCCAGCTGCGCCCACAGCAGACACAGCTCACAGAGGGCGGGGCTCTGCAGCCCTTTGCCTCCCTCCATGGCCGTGGCCGTGGAGAAGACTTTGCGGGCCTCGTCGATGTTGCCCCAGCATCCACTCCAGATGAGCGTAGCCGCGCCACAGCACCAGTGACGAGCGGTTGTCAGGTTCTTTGAGCAGTTGCTTGGCGACTCGCTTGCTGCTCTTGCCCTGAAAGCGGAGACGCTTCTTGTTGCCGCCATGCAGGCACCGCAACACCTGACACATAAACACACAAATATGTAAATTAGATACTTTTTTGACTTGAAACTAAGTGGATCAAAATGTTTTTCTTCTCATTTTTAATATAACTTAAGTGCAATTAATCTGACTTCCACCTTGAGTTTCTCATACTGCATCCAGCTGAGTGACAGGGCGGCTCGCTGCTGGACAGGGAGGACAGGTTGGACCATCTTCAACACATTAGTGAGAAACCTCTCGCCCAGCTTCCCAAGCCCCATCCACTTCCTTGTTCCCTGAAGAATGGTCATGTGACCAATAGAGTTGACCCCGGGGTCAGGAAGGTCGTAGGAGGTCAGAGGACGCCTGAGCTCGTTACCTAGAGAGTGACATAGAGACAGCTTTGTGTCAATGTGTTTCCTTCCAGTTGATTGTTATAGAAAAAACTATCAAATAAAAAAAACACTAAAATAACTGAAAAAAAACAATCTGAATGTCATTGCAATGAATACACTTCAGAATATTCTGTAAAGCCCTGATAGCTAGTTTGTATTTGGTGACTGACAGTGTCATCTTTACCCCTGAGTGAGCAGAGAGAGGTTCTCCAGCAGCAGGCCCGGCTGACAGGGGGCAGCAGAGAGCACAGGGTCTACAGGCAGCCCGAGAAACGACAGGAAACGGAGGAGAAGGCGGAGCTGGAGCTCTGGTGAAGACAGGCGAATGAGTGATGGACCGATGTCATCAAACAACACCTACAGACGGAGAAAAGGGAGGGATGGACAAGTCAAACAAAATGGTCACACCTATAATGGCTTTGTTTTAACATTTAGTAAAAGAGTTCCAATCATGAGGAAATACCTGTCTGTCAGGGTCCTCACAGTCCTCCTCTGATTGACCCTTGGCTTTGTCCGACCTCCAGGGCAGCCAATGAGCTGCTTCCCGACACATCTCCACCTCCAACCAGACTGTCCATCTGGGCTGGCTGCGATCCTTCACCTCCTCCTCATCCTCATCCTCCTCCTCTTCTTCCTCTGTGGACAGCACACATACATAGGAGAAGATGACTCGTGATTTATCAAGGATTTACATCCGAAGTAAACAAAGTAAAGAATGTCTGTGTGTGTTTTACCCGCATTGGGCTGCAAGCCACCCCCCTTCTCCTGTTGGAGCATCCAGGCCTTCCAACCTCGGGCCCCCAACTCTCCAACTCTCTCCTCCCCGCTGTCCCAGAATGGCTCAAAAGAACTCCACCTGCACATACACAGGAAAAACGTCAATTAAGTGGAAGGCACTATTTAGCTTTTATTAACATTACTGGAGACCTTGTGTTCTTTTTTCATTTTTATAACATAAATAAAAAAAGTCTCTATAAAAGAGAAAAGGCGGATCAGGCGGAGCCAATCAGATGACGCATTGACTCCGATTTTTTCTTTTTAAAAAGCTTTCTAACTTGCTCTTGAAATTCACAAAGAGTGAGAGTGCAACAAAGATGGACACACACACACATGGATAACACAGCAACATAACAAATGTAAATTAACATAACATGCATAAACAGTTATGCATATTTGGTAAAAAATAATATATTCTCCATTGTTCCTGATTAATGGTTATTGGTTGACATCCCTGCATTAACACATTGGCAGAAATATGTCAAATGTTGTGTGTGTGTGTGTGTGTGTGTGTGTGTGTGTGTGTGTGTGTGTGTGTGTGTGTGTGTGTGTGTGTGTGTGTGTGTGTGTGTGTGTGTATACCTGCTGCTTGGTGGACAGTTCTCGTACACTGTCAGGTTTGTAGAAGGTGAAATCAATCATGGCCTGTAACAGAGAAATGGCCTTCTCTGAGTGACCAGACTGACGCAGGAAATGACACTGCTGGGTGAAGATATCTGGACAGGAAACACAACCAGGAGCAACCAATGAGCATATAAAAAAACAAATAAGAATATAGAAAATGTGTTACTGACGGATGCAGGTGATCAGGGGCGGCAGGTACTGTAGGCTAGGGAAGGCTAAGCCTTCCCAAATATTGTTGTCACTGCATCATGGTCAAATTAAAATATAATGTATAATGTCTGTGTCTTTGAAATTAGCGCTGCTATGCAGCCACCAGTAAACTGTACTACGAAGCCAGTTCAACAGACCCTGGATATGTTTGAGTTATCTTAACTAATCCTAACAAACGAGATCTCGCTAAGCGGTCCTATGATGCTGGTTATCAACTCGGTAAATCAACCCAGGGTTTCTCTGTCCGGCTGAGAGCGCGTTCAAGGGGCGGGGCTATATACATTTGACCAATCACAAACATGGACAAGCGTACTGACAGCGCAGCGTCATACTTCCTGAATGAAAATTAAACTATAATAATAGACAAATATGAAGAAGTTCAACTTTAAACATCAATGACTTAAACACTTTATCCAGGATAAAAGCCTGCAAGGTGAATACAGAACAGCTGGTAAAAAAAATAATAAACTAGAGTGTTTGAATGCGTACATTAACAGGTTTATGATATCACTGCCTCGTCTAAGACACGAGGGATCTGACTTTAATTACATTTGAGTTGAGTTTTTCATCAACTTAATGTGTTGCTTAAAATAATACTTCTGCATACAGTAGGCTATGTGACACTGCAAGTGTTGCACGGCCAGATACGGCTCGAGAAGCTGACTCAGATAAGGAAATATATGATATATTATGATATTATATGATCGATGATGTGATTGATGATGTGATATGAAGTGCGACACATCGGTGTCTTCCCTGCATACGGCAGTTTAAACTGTATTTCCTTTATCCTGTAATATGACTTGATAGATTTAAACTCTGCACACTGATCTCTGGTCAGGAGGCAGTGCTTCACTGAGTTGATCTCTTATCTATAGACGTCGGAGGCGGGCAGCGCCAGGTAAAAAAAGCTATTTAGGCTTCCCAAACATAAGCTTCCACGCGCCACCTATGCAGGTGATGTAAACTGGGCTAAGCAGGGTGACTTTGTACTTCCCATAGTAGAAACTCGATATTTAAAATTGAAATAAAAATCTCAGTTACCCAACATATCCTCCTCGAGCCCTGGCAGGGCCGGTGGGACACCATGCTGCCATCATGCACCGCACTGAGCGTGCTTAGACACTTCCCGTACGCAGAGTTCACCTTCGACACGGAGAAGATGCTGAAGTAGCTCTGGGTGAACAGCAGATACTCCCTCCACAAGGGGGCACTGTTTGGATGGAGAAACACCTGAAATATAAAAAAAAATAAAAAAATAAAAAAGGTACAACGAGTTAGACCAACAGGCAGCCATAAGAGCCGTTCCAACTCTCTAAATGCTAATAAAGATGTTTAAATTTAAATTGGATTTCTTTATATAGCAGAAAATAAGCTCTGTAGCCAACATATATTCATGATATACCTACACTTTTTTGTTCAGCAGGATAATCTCCAAATATTAACACCACTTTGTGATTTTTGAAGCGTGAATGCAATCTCTAGAAGTAAGAAGCTAATATTAGATTATAAAATAACTAGATCGTGGCCGCATGGCTGAACATCACCACCACAAATGTATCAGTTTTGTTACGTTTAGTAGTCTCTTTTAGTCACTAAAATGATACATAGGTTTCAGACATTCACGAGTGGGGAAATTACTGAGGAATTTTATGTTGTACAGCATTTGTTTGAAAATGTCTTCAGCCGGTGTTAACCACAGAACTAATACCAGGCTTCTAACCACCAACATGTTCAAAAAACCATTGACTTGGAGACTAGGTAACTCGAAGTGGTGAAATGCTTAGTTACTTCCGGGTTTTAGGAGTTGTTTATGCACCACTCTATTCTCCTTAACATCTTGTTTTGACCGTATGACCTTTCCATTGAGGTAAATGTAAAGTTGTTTACTATAAATCTGCAGCCTAAGTTTTGGTACACAGACATGACAAAATATAGCCTTTGATTGAAAAAAGGCAGTATAAAACTGAATGGAACCAAAGAGAAAAAAAATACAGAACTGCGAATTATCAACTCTATCTAGGGCAAAGAAATAAATGACAGCAATGCTTCCTTTCTGTTCTCCTTTAGCATATGGCACACTTGACTTTGCCAAAGTACACGAGATAACTCCAATAATTATGTCCAACACTTCCTTGCTGCTGCAGCAGCTTTCAAGTGCACTGGATTCTCTTAGCACTGTGATTATTTTTCCCTTATAAATAGAGTGGTGCAGTGATAACATATTTTTGTAGGCCGACCCGGAAGTTGGCGACTCCCTTGTCAAAAAGCTATTTTTCCCATTGGATTTCTCCGTGCCAGCACACATTCATGATACCTACATGTTTTTGTTAAGTGGGATAATCAAGGGAAAGTCGTTTACAATATATCCGCACCTGCGTTTTGGCCCACATTTTGCTTGTAAAAAGGCCTTTTAAAAGCTGAATGGAACCAAAGACAAAATAAATACTGCCAATTATCAATTCTATTTAGGGCAACAAAAAGAACTACAGCTGTAGTCCAACACCAAAACCCTGAGAAGTTTTTCTGGACTTTAAAGATGTATTTTAAGGCTGTACACTGACCAGCTTCTTCCATTCTTGGCCAGAGCAGAGGGCTCCCAGAGCTCTTGGCAGATCCGGAGCTCTCCAGCTGCAGAGCGATGCAGCTGTGGTTTGGTCGAGTAACAGCGCGCTCTGCGATGCTCAGCTTTTTCTTCCAGCAGCGCCTGTAGGAGGACTTCCGATGTTCCACCGCTTTCGCTGCCCTGCTGCTCCGCCTCTCCTCCAAACCACTGCTGCACTCAGCTCATCCTGGAGAGGGAGAAACAGGCGTGCAGAATGAAGAACTCAATTATTGAAAAGCCATAAACAATAAGGGACTTGTACAGCGAGCTTTCATGAACGGAACAATAAAGGCCAACGCGAATAGGAGGGATTGTTGTTTTAATCATCCTTAGCAATGGTCATTATTTTGCTTAGTAGCGGTGAGTCACGTATTATTACATGGCTTAGTTGAATACGTCGATTCTGATTGGTCAATTTGGACATTTCAGATGTTATTAATACTCGATACACACCGCTGCTTAGCATAACATCCCCGTTGCTAAGGAGGATCAAAGGACAGAAGGAAAGAGGTTAAAAGACAGATACATCTTCAGAAGAAGGAGACAGGAAGTAAAACAGCAACAGGAACTGTGAACTGACTTGGACAGTTACAGTAAAACTCAATCAGTGCTGCCGTTCAATTTACGTTGTTGGTTGCAGTCGCAGTTTCCAGCCTGTTGTGGTGCCGTGGTTACAGAGTTTCGTTTTTGGGGCGGAAAGCAATATGATTATTTCCAAGGCAATAAAATAATTCCCTTAATATTGGGAGTCAAGTCGTTCGTGTTATTATGTGGCCGTGTAATAAGCGGGATACATGTGTATTATCCCGCTTTATATGTTTATTGTCATTATTGACATTCAACTAAGCAGTGTAATAAGACAAGGTTAGATTTTGTGAGAACTATATAGACAACAATTTCTTATCAATATATCCCACATATTTTGGACATATCTGGAGTCTCACTTGTTTGAAACTAATAACTCTTTATGATCTTTCAATCTATACCATGTAAAGCCCAGTCTTCCTACCTGGTATCGTATGAACTGTATCCAGAGCTGCGTGTCTCCTGGCTGCTCTCTGAGCCGCCTGTTGAACTCTTCGGTCCTCCCGGCCAGCGCTGCATTCTGCCCGGTCTGCACCTCCTGCTCCTGCTGCCCCTGCTGCTGCCCCTTCCCCTGCAGCCAGAGGGCCGTGGAGGCGTCATACACACCCAGAGGATTCACTGAGGATGTCTGCACTCTGTCACCTGGATCCAAACATTTCTTATTGAAACAACAGCTACGGCTTCCCTTTTACAGCCTGTTGTAGCTACTTCTTGTAAGGGAAACTTCTGTGTAGCAATGCAGTGGGAGTCACCGACTCAGGAAGGAGACACGGTGGAGCAGGAGCTTTTGTGTCAAACACTGGAGGTTTATTTGGAGTTACGGCCGGAGAGTTCACATCACAAATCACCAGCAGTCACGGTGAGACTGCAACGGGTGGGGTTGCCACAATCAATTCTGGAGCGCCTCTCTCTTGCTAGCCCATTTAACTGGTTTCACATAGAGTAATCAACATATATTTTGAGTAAGATAGCTTTAGACAGTTGGGCACGACTGAGTTACCCTGCGTCCGCCACTTATGGCCTCGAATATGTCATACCCTGGAGTCCACAAACAACAAAGAAGGAAGTGTCCCAGTGCACCCACCAACAAAGACCATCTGTGACCCAGTGTTGGTTGACCCGGTCACAGAATGGGAACAATAACATTATGGCTGAAGCAGCCTATGTCCTTAAAGGACGATAAACAGACGTCAGGGTTGGTCCTGTATCGTCATATCTAGGAGTCTAGGACAATTATTTCCCTAACACTTCTCTTACCTGTCTTTCCTCCTCCTTTGCCTCTCCTCATCGCCGCCCAGCGGGAGAAAGGAGGAGGTGCTGATGGCAATTGCCGTCCTTAGGTATTGTGGGTAATGTAGGAACAAGGGGGCTCGGCCTCAGCAGCTGGCGACTGACTGTAGAGAAGTATCTGTCTGCTGCTTTCTTCTTGTCCCCCCGCTTTTTCTGTTTCTTATTTGACTCTGACACCTCCCAGCTGACTCCCTGTTTGCGGGGGTCCAGACCCAAGGGGGACGAGTGGCCCTTGCCTCCTATACCTAGAGCACATAAAGAGGGTTCTCTGAATCTCACTGTGAACAGCAATTAATGTTTATCAGTAAGCATCTGTTTTGCTAGTGTAGCCTTTAAACCTAGCTTCATGTATGAATATGTTTCTGTCATGTCCTCAATGAAACAGTAACAAAGGGATGGAGGTTTGTTGGTTGTCATAAAGTGGGATCAAGGGATTCCGTTCATTTCATTTTTCATTTTCAAAGCTTTTTATACCAGGAGCTGAATTATCAGACATATACTTTGATTCAAATTAATGGATTTCTCCAGTTTGAAAACTACAGTATTTGAAATATTTGGGCTAATGCAAGAACATAGCTATTAGCTTGAACAAAATAACTTGAAGTGTGTGGACATTATAATGGGTAAATGCTACATTATATACCTGTAAAGTTCTTGATTTTAAATAAACGTAGATCCCGCTGAGCGGGAACTGACTTAAAGGAGACACTTCATTTTTTGTCCGATGAAAAATCCAGGAGGAAATGTGTGTGTTTGAATGTGTGTGTTACCTGGTTACGTCTTCCCTCTGTACAGGGACTTTGTAGGTCCAGTTGGCTTGGTCCTGCTTTACGGTCCACACAGAACGGCTGCTCTGTGGGTCGACTTGAGGTCATCCAGCAAGGAGAAACAACTGCTAACGGAGCAGCCTGGGGACGGGGTAACGGATACACACATCAGAAACATAGAGCAGGGGGGTAACCACGACGAGAGAGATCAACAGAGCCAGAGGTATTTTACTTAGCTGGCTCGACTAAACTAAAACTCCTGATCAGAGATAAGGGGATCTACGAAGCTGGTTATCAACACGGTCTTTGTGAACCCAGGCTTTCCTCTTCAGACTCACACAATACAGGGCATTCACATTTGACTTGTGAACACTGTTCCTTTTGGGATACGGGTAAATGACATTTGTGAATAGAATATATCATAAGTGAAATTAAAAGTATTTGTAGGAGCCAGGAATGTCAGAGATATCTGTTGTATGATTTTAATAGAGGTTTTTTTATATTTTGGGATTGGTCTTTTTTATAATATTATAACTTAATATTTCTGGATCAATTATTGTCTGGATCAGTTGGGTCACATGGGTATGGGCAGCACTCATATTTAATATAATTACCTGTTGACCAGTGTGAGGGAGGTGTGTATGGAAGAGAGGGTGAGAGGGGCACTATATTTTTGTGTTCACAGCTACTTTGTGATAGCTGGATTATTCTGATTATTTGTTTTTGCACGTTATATTAATTGATAATTTTCATTAATTTAAGATTTTGTTTCACTGCATTTTTGGATCCCAGCATATATTTTTGATAGCGCGTCTGACATAGGCAACCAGGCCCGACCTCAGCCTCTCAGCAACTTTGTTTGTTCCTGAAGTGGCTACTTTTGTATTGAATTTGATCTGTGATACATACCAATAGACTAATCAACTTTTTAATCGGTTTTGGATTAGCTGCAATATGCCAGCAATTTAAACGGACCTTAGCAAAAAAGGGGACTGGAGACATAAAAACAAGTGGGGAATTATACTGCATTCCACTCGCAAGTACGTTTTATACTGATGAATAATACCTTGTACTGATGTTACGCATCACTGGTATAGGTTGCCACGGAGAAGAAAAAATAGTGCATTTCATAAAGTATGCGCTACTGTAACAGCACAGCTTTGATCGGTGGCATAAATGTAACCTTGGAACTCAAAATTGTACATAATAACTTATTACCTGAGCTGATAAGCTGTACCGCTCATAGATTGACTATAAGGTTGCGCTATTTTAAAGGAACTAGTTAGAACAGCTAGTTAGAACAGCTGGTTAGAACAGCTAGTTAGAACAGCTGGTTGAACAGCGGTATTTGGCGATTTTAGGCCTAAACTCTGAACATAACCGGGTCCGGAGCAGGTTAGTTCTGCAGCGTAGGTTGCCATGGTTATTTAGCCAGGTTAAAAGAGAGCCACAGAAAACTCTGGCTCGTAGTACACCCCTCAGAAGTAAGATAGTGCAAATGTGTGCAAGAAGTGTGAGCATGTGTAAAATGTATGTATAACCTCTCTGCCTCTTGCTCCCTTTTGAGGTCACTGGGGAAAATGATTTCAGTCTCATTGCCGCTGCTGTCCGAAATGTCTCCTCCGCTCTTCTTTTTGTGTTTTTTGTGTTTTTCTTCTTCTTTTCACTCTTCTTTTCTTCTTTTTGGGTGGCAACATCACCCTCCTCCACCTCAGAGCTCACATATCCCCCACACTGAGGATTATAAGGTGCACTTAATGTTAAAGACAGTCGGAGAACAAAGAAAAGTATAAGAGAACAATTTAACTTCACAGATCTAGCTATCTATTTATCTATAAACACCTGACGTTAGATTTATTTGACTAAATTATACAGTACTTCTGATACTTGTTATGGGAGAGCAATACATAAATATTTAGTAAGTTATTTCTAAACAGAGTACTTCACGTTAAATAAGTCAGATCAGTAAAAGGGAATGAGAGCATGGAGCATGTGTCAAAACACTTGGCACCGTGGCTTTGTCATGTACAAATAGTTTAAGACCAGGATTAGGCTTGCGACACTGCAGCTACCCAAAGGGAGAGGACGATTGGCAGTGCCGAGTTTCCAGGATTATTATTATGCAGCTCAAATCAGAACCGTGGCATGTTGGTGTAATATGGAATACGTAGCCAAATGGAAGGACATTGAAACAAATGGGGAAAACTAACCAGATTCAAAAACTACTTAGGGGATAAAGAATTATTTAGGACACAGGAAAACTTATTAGACCCAATTACAAAATGCACTTTAAACACGGTAATAAAGAGATACAAAATAGGAAAACAGACAAAGATTTTGAGATGGATAACAAATGATAATAAATTCCAGCCGGGAAAAGAAGATGCAGGTTTTAAGCGATGGGCCCGAGGGGGCATCACAGCAATATGTAGGATGGTGGAAAAAGGGGAAATGCAGAGTTTTCAATATCTAGAGATAAGTTCGATCTGGAAAGGGGTGACCATTTAGATACTTACAGGTGAGAGACTATTATATAAAAGAAAAAATGGATAAAACACTAAACAAAATGGGGTAATTAAGGTATGATTGAAGCATATGAAGGGAAGAAAGGCAGGGTGATTTCAGCTCTATATCAAGCTCTGTTGGAGAGTAGGGGGAATTCAACTCTATATATAAAAGAAAAGTGGGAGAAAGAACTCGGATTGATATGACAGAGGAAGAAATGTATGTAGTGCAGCATTCAACTACTGGGTCAAGGGTATGGAGGGAATTTGGCTGGAAAACATAATCAGATACTTCATAACCCCAAAGATAAAAGGGAGGTATGCCCCGGAACAGAACGCATGTTGGAGGCAATGCGGCGAGGTGGGGGCAGACCACACACACATTTAAATGCCAAAAGATGAAGGGATACTGGGAGGAAGTGTGGGGAGTATTGAAGGGGATATTAGGTATGAGGTTCCTAAGACCGGCCTGATGTTATACTTGGGGAATCTGGTACAGGAAAACACACAGGGTGGGGACAGATACCTGATTAAGGTGCTGCTGGCTGCCAGCAAGAAAACAATTACCAGAGCATGGTACAAAGCAGATCCACCTACAAAGGAGCAATGGCTGGGAGTAGTACAGGAAATATTTGATATGGAGAGATTCACACACATATTGAGGGTCCAGGAAGGGACATTTGAGTCCAAATGGGAAAAATGGGTTGAATATAAAAGAAAAATGAACGACACCACAAATTGAGAGTTGGAACCAGACCATGATGTTGCATTAAAATAGGATAGAAAGCTTCCATGTCACTGTTTGCTTGTTTTTATTATTATTTTATTTGTACTTTCTTCTTTTTTCAATGGGTCTTAATTCAATGTATACTGAACTATATGTGGTTTTGTATGTTATAAAAATGTAAGTGAAAAAAAAAAATGAGTTTAAAGGGAAAAGCTTGCAGTTTTTACAGTTCAAAGTCCAGTATTTTGTCTGAAAGAAAAGAAGTCCCCGCTTCATATCTGTACCTTGATTCCTTTTCGTTCAGCCTCTCACTCGTCTTCTCAAAAAAACGACTGTGAAGAGAGAGGGCATCTTCAGTCTGGAAACTCTTATTTTTCAGCCAGTCTAATTCTAAAAGGGAGAGAGAGAGAGAGAGAGAGAAGAGAGAGAGAGAGAGAGAGAGAGAGAGGAGAGAGAGAGACGAGAGAAGAGAGAAGAGAGGAGAGAGGAGAGAGAGAAGAGAGAGAGAGAGAGAAGATAAGATTAGATTAAAAAAATTCATAATCAGTAATCATGAGGAGGATTTAGAGGTTGTGACCAAGAGTATCAATCACTGAGTGTGTTTACATGGCAGTTTAAAAACAGTCTTGAATCCAATGCGAAACAGCTCAAATTAACGAAGGAGATACACTTCTGTTGTCTTGTTTTACTGCTGATTAAAAAAGATAAATCCAGATGATGGGTAAGTACACCAAAGTCTTGAAGCCAGAAACCTATCTGAGATAACACAGGCCGTACATAAATGACAGATTTACAGCCTGTGGATGAGCCATGATGTATTTGTATCTGTGTTAATGTTGAGCTACAGATGTTTGCACCCTATGTGATTGTGTAGCTTGTCATCTTACCAGGTTACAAGATTGTAAATAACACATTCTTTTGCAGCCTTTAGAGTTGTTAGGGTTTTTTCTACCTTATCCTAAAAAGAGGGTCTAAGGACATATTGTAAAGCCCCAAGTGATATTGGTCAGTATATATAAAATTGATTTGAATGGACAAGCCTGCACTGCCAGAGGATCAGGATTCTGGATAGTACTGGAACATTTCAACATGGACCTGAATATCCAGGTTCCTTTCAATGTAGAGGTCATGTCCCACATACTGTCACCAGCAAGACTCAACAACAGGATTATAAAGTGTAAACACACCAGTTACTTGGTAGAGGTTAACATAGAGAGACATTTCTCCCTAAAGCTTATAAGGAGGAGAATTTCGTCAAAAAACGACAGACTTGTGCCTCCGCCCTTTAGGTTCGGTTATTAGCAGAAACACGCCTTGTAGAGGATTACTGGCCATATTCAGTTCACTTTGTCTTATAGATTCGTTATAATGTGGACTTGCTAACGCACAACACAACAAAACGCCTAATTGTCTTTGTTTATTTGAATGTTGCACTTGCATCATATACAGTGTAAACACATATTCAGACAGTATACTAACTTCCAGAAGTAACCGTAGAGGAATGTAAACTGCTTGACAGAGCTAAGCTAGCTCCGTCATTCAGACGTTAGGACAGCTAATGTCAGCTAGCTCGTGCTAACGGGTTCCTCTCTCAACATAATGACAACAGAGTATTAGAACCATTATTAATTCATTTAAATATGAAGTGCTAACCCTTGGACGAATCTTCAACTTTGTTTGGCTCTACTTCTGCAAAAGCTGGAAACAGAGCCATGATGATGTCGCATGTAAACAGTCGCACGACTATGACGTCACTTGACGATTACAAAAACACATTTACAAATGAACTGACTCAATTTGATATGTAAATTCAAACTTCTACTGGAAAATGCCAACAATTTGAACATCGGAAATAAATCTTCCCAAAACTCAATAGTAAGCATCCCCAAATAAAAAAGAAAATGAAAAGCTTAAATATTACCCGGGGAAAATAAAGAAAGCTGCAGGACCAGTGTGTCTCTGCCTGCCACAGAATGAGCGACTGACATCTCACGCAGGACCTCACATCTCACGTCTTTGTTTAATTGTTATTATCATTTATTTTGAATGTTATTAATTAATTGAATGAATTTTCATTCCTTGTGTTCCTGAATGAGCAGTTCACTTCAAATATGTATTTGTATATGGATGGTGCAGCGATACAGAGCTTTTAGCAATATTGTATGTAAATGGTTATGCAATAAAGCTATTGAATTTAATTAAATTAATATGTGTCTCTGAGTGTAGAGTTTTGTAGGTGCAGACCAGGGGGGGGTACGCTCGTTCAGTAATCCATCCCTGAGTTAGATAACCTATGATTGGCTTAATATACACGTAAAAAACACAAGATGTGTATTGTAATCATTGTAGAAAAAGGTCATAGGTACGTGCAATAGATGTTGTGGCCACACAGTGATCTATGCACGTAACTATGACCTTTTTTTACAAGGATACAATACCAATCGTGTGGGGTTGGGTTTCATTGAGATTACATTGATTGATTACTGTGCATACAAAGGGTGTGTCTGCAGAAACGCTGCTACCGCTGGATGTAGTACCAGCTTTGATACTTTGCTTGTGGTTCTTTCAAACGACACCTGTGACAACATTGGGTCAGGGAGACATTTATATTATTGAAGACAAATAGAGTTAAGAAATATGTATATATCTTTTTTATTGTTATAGGAAAAGTAGAGCATTATGTTCCACACTCCAATACAGTAGGTGGCGGTAATGCGCCTTTAACGCTGATCCCCCGCCATAAAACCGTGAAAAGACGAAGTAGAAGCAGAAGAAAAAGAACGCTGTTCCTGTCACAGCACCTTATTCTCCGCTTCGTTCGCAGCTGAATCACTGCAGTCCAACAACTTAGCCTTTTTCGGTCTTGTTCACCAAAATGAGGGAAATCGTGCACCTTCAGGCTGGCCAGTGTGGAAACCAAAATTGGATCCAAGGTAAAGCTCAGATTAACAGGAAAATTATTTCCTCCTTTATAAAGTGCGTGGATGTGTAATTTAGTTTGGGCGGGCCGGTTAGCCTATTTAGCAACAATGCTAATGATAGCTACCTACTCGGTTAAGATAAGTCATACAGTTATTCAGATGATTTGACCGTTGTTGTTTTATTCTCTTCTTCTAGTTTTGGAAGTCATTAGCGACGAGCATGGCATCGACCCAACCGGTCATACCATGGGGACAGCGACCTGCAGCTGGTATCGCATCAACGTGTATTACAACGAGGCTTCAGGTTAGCTTGCTTTGCCTTGCCAAATTCTCAACTCTGCGCCACTCCTCTATGCGGAAGGATTGTTAATCGGCCTACCGGAGCCACCTAGCGGGCGGATCCTCCGCTGGTAGCCGCAGGGAACTACAATGTGCCATGTCACTTCCTAGTTGCAATCGCAGCAGAAAAAGTCAAAAAATAATGATACGGGTCCTCAAATAACTACTAGGTTTTCACTTATTGATAAATCTTGTCCGCATAATTAAGTGAATAACCTTGTTTCTTTTGTTACATATTAATTTCATTTCATGAAACGATACGCCGTTATAGGGTGTGACCGTGTGCTGTTAAACACCGGACTCGATTATCACGTCATGCATACAATATATTTTTTCAAAATGCTTTTTGCCTGTGTTTGGTCATAGTTCAAAAGACACAGTATTTAATTCAACTACACGAAAAGGGTAGGAAAGCGAGAAGGTCTTTTCTTGAGGAATTATTTCAGCAATGTGTGTAAATGGCTTCAGATAATAAAGCTCTTTGTGTTTGGATCACCAGGCGGAAAGTATGTCCCCCCGGGCAGTGCTGGTGGACTTGGAGCCCGGCACCATGGACTCAGTGAGGTCCGGTCCCTTGGCCAGATCTTTAGACCAGACAACTTTTGTCTGTGGTAGGATGTAAAACCAATCTTGTTTAACTTGGGTTGATAAAGTTGCCCACTCCTCTGCTGTCCATCGGGATTTTGTTGAGTAAGTTGACAGTACTCAGTAGAACTATCATTCCTTTCTTGTGTTAGTGCCTTTTGTATGCACTGCTCATTGACCATTTAAAATGTGTTTTGCAAGTATAATTCAGTCAATTATGCTAATAGATCCAAGACGTGTTGCACACATGTGTATAGAGTTGTGTGTTTGCATGTGGACACAGGCCAGAGCGGCGCCTGGTAATAACTGGGCTAAAGGGGGTCACTACCTGAGGGAGCCGAGCTGGTGGACTCGGTCCTGGATGTGGTGAGGAAGGAGGCGGAGGGCTGCGACTGCCTGCAGGGCTTCCAGCTCACAACACTCCCTGGGTGGAGGAAACCGGCTCGGGCATGGGCACACTGCTCATCAGCAAAATCCGAGAGGAGTATCCAGACCGCATCATGAACACTTTCAGTGTGGTGCCTTCGCCTAAGGTGCTTATAATACACCGATATACATTAACTATTTTTCTCATCTTACTTCTGCTTTAATGCGACTCCTTCTCCCTCCCCCGACCTCAGGTTTCAGACACAGTGGTGGAGCCGTACAACGCCACCCTCATCGGTCCACCAGCTGGTGGAGAACACAGATGAGACCCTTCTGCATTGATAATGAGGCGCTGTATGACATCTGCTTCCGCACACTGAAGCTCACCACGCCCACCTATGGAGACCTCAACCACCTCGTCTCAGCCACCATGAGCGGGGTGACCACATGTCTGCGCTTCCCCGGCCAGCTCAATGCTGATCTGAGGAAACTGGCCGTCAACATGGTGCCCTTCCCCAGGCTGCACTTCTTCATTCCGGGCTTCGCCCCACTGACCAGTCGTGGCGGCCAGCAGTACAGGTAGAGAGACTGTCAGATCCTCAAGTTTTAATAGAATAGAAGGAATAAAATTTACTCGGGGTAAAATGACATTTTGAGATGCTTATAGTACTATTTAAACTGTTCATTCATTACAGATAATTTTTAATTCATGCTAATCCATGTTAATTGATTGATGCATTTAAAATATATTTGATGGTCGTTCTTCCTGCAGGTCGTTGACGGTTCCTGAGCTCACCCAGCAGATGTTCGACTCCAAGAACATGATGGCAGCCTGTGACCCGCGCCACGGCCGCTACCTCACAGTCGCCGCCATTTTCAGAGGCCGCATGTCCATGAAGGAAGTGGACGAGCAGATGTTGAATGCACAGAACAAGAACAGCAGCTACTTTCGTGGAGTGGATCCCGAACAACGTGAAGACTGGCCGTCTGCGACATTCCTCCCCGTGGCCTCAAGATGGCCGCCACCTTCATCGGCAACAGCACGGCCATCCAGGAGCTGTTTCAAGCGCATCTCAGAGCAGTTCACACCGCCATGTTTCCGCCGCAAGGCCTTCCTCCACTGGTGAGTGAAATAATAGTAATGATGAGACCGGGAGAAGTTACTCTACCTGTGCTGGACCTTTTTATATGTAGGGAACATTTTGCGTGGCCCAATTTAGTTGGATGCTTTCTTTATCTTTATGACGTTATTTTGTGTGGACAGAGCAGTATTATCTGCCTGTTCATGGTTTTTACTAATCAGTATCAGTTTGTAGTTATTACGGCACCATTTTAATATGTGTATTAAATGTATATGTGTACAATTAATCATGGCAAAATATGTTTTTTTTTTGGTTGGCATCTACATGGATATAAGCCCTGCTTCCTTGCAGGCGCGTGTAGTTTGAGTTACACGAGTATACACAAATGATACTGCGGTAAAACTCAATTTAATTGATTATTCTGCCAAAATGTTACTAGATGAATTGTTCGATCTACTGTATGTCCAAACGTTTAAAAAAAATAAGGGCTGCCCGATTTGGAAAAAATAACAATTTGCAATTATTATGACTGACAATTGTATGCATCAATGTCATTTCATAACCCCAAATCTCTCCTAATACAAAAACATAAATCGGAATCTTAAATGTTCTACATAAATATTGATAGTTGTATGCAGTGAGTAATATTTCCTTGTTTCAGGTACACCGGCGAGGGCATGGATGAGATGGAGTTCACAGAGGCTGAGAGCAACATGAACGACCTGGTGTCTGAGTACCAGCAGTACCAGGACGCCACCGCTGAGGAGGAGGGCGAGTTTGAAGAGGAGGGCGAATATGAAGATGGAGCCTAGATGCCCACAACAACCTTTTTCTCTCCCAATGCAACAGTTAATTAAAGTGGTCATATTATGCTTAGTTCCAGGGACCGATTTGCATTTTGTGCCTCTTCTGTGACATGTTTACATGGCTTAATGTTCAAAATGTGCTTTATTTTTCTCATTCTGCTGCTGTATTCATTTGTGATAATGTAACAGTGACCAGACCAGGGGACTAATCACTGAATGTGACAATTACTGTCTGATGTGCAGTGTTATTCTTTTGCCAAAAAACATCATGGTTTACACTAAAAGCTACAAATAGTGTCAGGAACTTGTCTCTGTTATAATATTCCTGATGTGCTTGTAGTGGTAAATTGGGATCAAATGTGATTTTAATAAAGATGTCTTATTTGGTTCCAAATGGTGTTGTTACTTTTGGCTCAACTGAACTATGACCAATGTTTTATTTACTGAACTTATGAAGTAGTCTAATTTGTTAGCTTGAATTGAAGCCAATAAGGGTACTCCGTAACTATCTCAAAAATTATGATTTTTTTACAACATTCTCATTTACTAAGTACTTTCAATAATTGTAATGAATAAAAACGATTAAATCACCTTTTTTTTTTTTAAGCACCTTTT